GGGCTTGTCTAGATCGCCTGCTGGCGATCTAAGCCAAGCTGGCTTAGATCGCCAGCAGGCGATCTAGTCGGGAACCTTCTAGTTCGCCTGCTGGCGATCTAAGCCAGCTCGGCTTAGTTCGCCAGCAGGCGAACTAGTCGTGACTAGTTCGCGTTCTGCGGCGGTTTCGGTTTTTCGTGGTTTTGCAAAACGAGTTCTCGAGTTTTATAAATCGATCTTTGAATTTTATAAAACGATCTTCGAGTTTTTATAAAACGATCTTCGAGTTTTTATAAAACGATCTTCGAGTTTTTATAAAATGATCTCTCGAGTTTTATAAAACGATTTCTCGAGTTTTATAAAACGATCTCTCGAGTTTTATAAAACGATCTTCGAGTTTTATAAAACGATCTCTCGAGTTTTATAAAACGATCTCTCGAGTTTTATAAAATGATCTTCGAGTTTTTATAAAACGATCTTCGAGTTTTATAAAACGGTATTAATCATTTTATAAAATGATTTTGCGGAAAATAATGGTTCCATCTTTTACAGAAGCTATCGCAGACGTTGATTTCGAGATTACGGTTTTCGACACCAACATTCCCTTACCTCCTCAGACAAACCGGTAAATAACTTAGCTTGAAGGACCTGAAGCCTTTTACCATTGAGAGACCTCGGACCATTCCGCAGAACAAGAACCCCTTTGATTCGGGCATTACCAGTTTCCTGCTAATTCAGACTCGTGCTGTCGGTGGCGTAGATTTATGCAACTGCATTACTCCTGATGATCTGGACCTAGAGGTTCGACGTGCTGCAGTCATGATCTACGAGGAAAACGTTGAACCTCTTTAATAGCAGTAATTATGTCGTTGTTCTCCTTTGTCTAATTTGTGTTTCAGTTTCTACATCTAAGCTACTCTATGTCTTCAGTCTGTCATTCAGGATCCATCTTTACCCTACGTTTTTAAGTCGCAATTTGAAGTCCAACTTTTTTTTTTGTTGTTTGTCACTGGAACTCTATGTTTACATGCTATTTAACAAGATATCATTTAAATCGTAATCGTTATTAGTTTCGCTAACATGATAACATAAACATATTACTTGCTAATACGATTGCTAACATAATTCCTTTTCACAAGGATGTCAGAATGCAAATACTCCAACGCAACTATAACATCGGTTATGATAACACGATAATTACTTTACACTTTCACGCACACACAGACATGTCTGAATACCTCTTCTATTCGTGTTACATGAGTCATAATATAAAATCTAATGCTAGCAAAATTTTCAATCGTTTAGCTAGATAAACTAAATCTCAACAACGCTAATTAAATCTAGTTAGCATACTAATTTCGTTTGCGTCTCTACTCATCCAGACTTTTTTGACGTTTTAACCATATGAAATTACAAAAAAAAAACAATGCTTCAAATTGGTCCAAATGATAGAAAATGGATCATTTCGTTTAAGCAGTATATCTATCGTCTTACACGAGTCCGAAATCTACCACCAACTCTATTTTAAAAAAATAAACTTACCACGTCTTTTTTAAAACTTAGCAATTGTACCAGCCCATTTTTAAACAAACTCACAAACTTCAAGTACAAATATGAAGAAACTAATGGGCCGGGCACTTATTGGGCTTATATTTTACATTAACATTCGTTTTCCTCATTCAACCAAAATAACTGTCGCTGCTTCCTTTACCTTCACTTTCCAAAATCAAATTGGGAACCCTAATTTTACCTGAGTACGACCGACCGGAGTAATACGAATGTCGCAAATAACTGGCGCTAGTTCCTCCTCTGTTCCAGGTAAACAATCCAATATCCCAATTCCCACTCCATATAAATTTGATACCATCTCCTCATCCTCCACATTTAGGTCACTGGCGTCGCCGTCGAGGAGATCGAGAGAGAGGTATCCCCGAGCACTATAGATGCGGTGAGAAGACCATTATAAAGACTTCGGGTACAGCTAAAAACCCTGGGAGGCTATTCTATTGTTGCCCTAACGGCTCAGAGCAGGTATAACCTAGCCCTATCCATTTATTGGAATTTGACAATACAATTTCACTTTCTATATTTGTTGTCCTATGATATTATTTTTTCTTAGGACAAGTTTCATCTTTTCACATGGACCGACGAACGGCATTGTCGAAGAGGTTGAGGACCTAAAGGCAGTAGCTTGTGATTTGAAAACCGAAATGTCTTCAGTTAGAGAGGAATTAGATGCACTGGAGAAGCATCTACAATGTATCAACATCAGGACCGGTCTGTCAAGAAACCATAGTGGTTGTTGTTCTATTCTTTAATCTATCCATCATCTAATGCAATGTTTTCTTGTACCCATCTACTCTACTCCACCCTTTTAGGTTGTTTTTAGTTCTTCATCATTGTCAGAAAACGATGTTCGCACCTCCCGTTCTAATGTTAAATTAATGTCCTATTGCCTTTCTCTTTTACGAATTTTTTTTTTCAATATAATGTTTCGTTTGTTATATTACACTACTTTCTTACTCTTTAAGAGTGATTAATTTTCCAAACTTAACATGTCTTCTCTTTTTATGTTAAAACTTATGATACCTTTTTTTAACACCAAACCAAAAAGAACCTTTATACCAAGCTTGCTTACACTAACATCCTTTCCATTAAATGTAAACGATAATCGTGACAATCTAAACAATGTATTTTCACCTTTTTAATTTTGTTTATCTTATATAACGAATATCATTCATTAATAATTACTCGGTTATCTCGTTACACTTTCTATTATAAAAATACTTATTGTAATAGCATGATAACTTATGTTTCATTCAAAACTAAATCTCCAAATTTTTATGTACGATACACATGGTAACTTTTCAAACAGTGTTTATTTGGGAATACATTACTGTCATTAATTGCAAATGATAATCATATCAACCAAAACAATATATTTCACGATGTCTACCTTTTCATCATTTTCATCTACGAACAATCATTGTTAACCATTCTGTTATCTTTTTACATTTTTTTATTTTATTAATACTTCGTATTTTAGCATCTTTTGTATACTTATCATTTTATAAACAACCACTGTTGCCATGTTAGTTTTAACAGCTTATATTTGTCATTCTTTTACAATACTTAATGTATTGACATTTTTGGTTAACGATGTCCCACAAAATAGAAGAAGCAACTTGTTATTTATGTTTACATTGCGATACACACTAGATCCCATACAATCTTTCATGTTAGGCTGAGCATCACTAGTATTTTACATAAGATAGGTTTTTGCTCCCCAACATGAATCCCACCCCTTTCCGAACAACTCTCCCTTCGCCTCAAATTGCTTCTTTTTATTTTAGCAAACACATTATATTGGTTCCTTGCAACTGGTTTTGTTATGACCAAACCCCTTGCATCTACTACACAGAGTTCTCCTTCGAATGCGTTTCATCTGCAACACATGTATACACCAATTAATCACTCTTGACACCAAACTTATAAGCTACCACTTACTAAATGTTACACTCTACTTAGGTTGATAAAAATTAATGTCCACTTACCATTTTTCCCCTCTCGAAAAGAACCTTTGCTTCTTTGGCCTCCCTGGAGGTCTTCTCGTCACTGGAGGACTCAATTGAGTCCAAGACATCACCACTGTCCGGCACCGGCAGGACAGTCCCTGCATAAGCTGATTTCCACGCGCCTACAGTGTATGCTGGTAAAATCAATGATTCCACGCTAACTTTACCATTTATAGCAGCAGCAATAGAATGTGAACATGGGATAGCAAGCATCTGGAACTCGTAGCAGGTACATGTTTTGTTAAACAGATTTACATGATAACTACCACCGGTCTTGTTACGGACTTCATACTCATCTTCTCCGATCATAGTCACCTCATAACCTCTAGAGATTTCAAAATTTTTTGACAGGATTGCATCAATTTTTGGTGTTATTGTACCCTTGTTCTTGTTAGCGGCATCTCTACGTCCAGCAAACCATCCAGTTAACTTGCTTCCTATGTAGTCTATCAACGCCACTACTGGGTATTCCCTAGCTTCGCGGAGCACAGAGTTCCAAGACTCGGCTAGATTTGTTGTCATGAGTTGTATTGTTGGCCAGGAAAATGCATTCTTGCCCAGTGCTCTAGACCAATGTCGAGAAGATACTCCGCACACGCTGCATCCATCGTTTTTATCTCGTTAAATGTCTTGTAAAATTCTTGCATCTTGAATGTTCTTGCAGCCTTTGCAACCAGAAATTCCAAATGTCTGGCCTTGAAATTTGAACGAATGTTTCTCTTCAAATGGACGATGCATATGCAATGTCCCGCCCTTGGATACACCTGTAATCATTTACATGCTAACATCATATTCTCTACATTCGAATATAACGATAGGCAATCACACGCAAAAACTTACATGTTAATATAACACAATATTCATATGCTAACATTGAAAATAGAAACATGTACACCCACACGACTCATATACTAGCTAACATCATGTCATTTATAATCTACCAGAATGTTTAGCACTAAATATATAAACATTTTACCTTGCTAACCCCTTTAAGTATCGATGGATGCCTGTCTGAAACAAAAACCAAATCTTCCCTCTCCTTCACAAAAGCCGACAGTTGCTGGAAGAACCACTCCCATGATGAGTCGTTTTCACTGTCAACAATTGCAAAAGCCAAAGGAAAGATTTGGTAATTTCCGTTTTGTGCAGAGGCTGTAAGCAAACATCCAACATATTTCCCTTTCAATAGGGTTCCATCAACAACAACCACCTTTCTCATAAACTCAAACCCGTCGATAGAGGCCCCGAAAGCAACAAAGACATATCTGAAACGTCTTCCACCACCATCTACTTCTTCGGTCAATAGCTCTGTAATAGTCCCCGGGTTAGCAACTACAAGCCTGTCAAGGTAGCCAGGGAGCTGTTTGTAAGAAATTTGAGTTGAACCTTTAGTCTTATCAATTGCCACATCTCTAGATCGCCATGCCTTCCAGTATGAAATATTAACATCATGGTCACCCCGCATCATTTGCCTTATTTCACGAGGCTTTGGTCCACCGTAGGCTCCACCAAACTTTCCTCTCATTAGCTCACCAATTACAGACGCTGTAGTCTGTGTCTGGTAACCGGCCCGCTCATCAATTGAACATAGATGTTCAGAGACTACTTTCCTTATCTCAAAAACATCTGCATCCTTCAGTTTGACCGCATAAACCCTCCACGGGCAATCCTTCCCACAACACTCCGGTACCATTAATCCAGGCTCTGACTTTCTACTTTTATATTGAAATTTCTTCCTGATAGCGTAAAAAGCCATATGCTGCTTGAAGGTGTCTCTGTTCCTGAACATCATTCCCTCTTGGACGTCATCTGTATAATCTCCAATTTCATCTGTCCAAAATTTTGTTTTTTGTTAAATAGAATGTCCTTTAAAAAAAAAAAAATTGTGACATATATACAATATTTTACATCTGCCAAATATTATAATGAAATCTAATTAACAACATTATTAATATCAATTTCATATTCTATCATCACAATACTAATATATAATTAATTCACGTCATACCACTTCTACTACTTTCCCAATTACACTTGATAACATTAGAGCTTCAAAGCATGTTTTACATTCTACACGCTAAACTCTAATCGTGCTTACAATTATCATCATGTTCCAAATATTCAAATAATTAACATGCAAAAATCGATGATACTATTGTTATTATTTCCACTTGACAATCTTTTCTTTCATGTTAATCGAATCAGCTATCATGCTAATACCAGCTACACACCTCTAACTGGTCATAATTAAATTTATCTTCCTATATAACTTCGATTCACTAACATTTACAATTTCATGGAAGAGTTATTTACCATTTACTCAGTTAGCACCACAAAACTAATGCTTCTCAGCTTATAATACATGCTAAGAATTGCTAGTGTCTTGTAAATCACAGTTTTACTATATATACGAGTTTAGTAAAACAGGCCCAATAACCTTTTCACAAGTTATACTACTGTCCATCAAGTTGGAATAATAGATTAGTTTGCTAACTGATAAATTGCCATCTTTATATCTTAAAACACCGGGGAAAAAAAAGTCAATTCGATCTTTTAGCAGTCCAACAAACTAACATTACAACAAACCCATAAGTTTAGCAGCCCAAACCCACAACCTTTACCCCTACAAAAGCAACATTACCATATCTTCACCATATCTTCTAACTTAACTTTGGGAAGTTGAATTGATACATCAGCTGTCCCATAGGGAAAAAACGTTAAATTCAACACCCACCTTATGTGCTGCTCCCTTCAGAAGAAGTCTCCTTTTCCGGCCCAACTCTTTTTCCCTTTGCAGCACATGATATCGCAAGCTTCATCATTGGTGTTATATCAGCTCCGTTTGCATGCTGACCACTGCTTCCACCCATCTCGATGATGTTATTCTTTGAGTAAACCAAACCTTCAGCTGCCGCCATTTCTGCCCAAAAATTAACACGATAAAAAGCTTGTACTAACCACGTTCAACCAAACAATAAATTTTGTATATACTCATTACATACCGCTCTTTGAAGGCCGACCAGTGTATTGATTTCCTTCGAAACCGGAGGCATTTACTTCTTTTGTAGATCCAGTAGATGAGCCACCACTTTCTTCAACTGTTATTATGCGAGTTGGTACACTAATGGGGTCAAGATCGACTATTGTATTACCAGCAACGTTACCAACTAGACCCACATCGTCAAACCCTGTCGCGTTTAGATTTAGGGGGTTGACTTCATTAACAACTTCATTCCCCACAGTTTCCCAAAACCTCATACCATTCTCAATCTCCTCAGTTGGTCTTTGCTGCGCATGCCCCTGATGTGTCATCAAATCCATTCCAACGTCCCAATAGATCGGCGGAGCATCTGCTTCTGCAATGTTGCCAACTTGCTCTGCTGCATTAGATGTTAACAAATGACAAATTTAAATTCACAGTTTACAAAAACGATTAGCAATACATCAAACTCTTTTAGCATTCACAATATCATATATAACACCAAATTCAAATTTCTATATACCTATTGTTGGCTCCACACGATTTCCTTCAACCATGTCATCATCATCATCGTCTATCTCTATGATTGGTGGTACATTGTTCCGATTTTGATTAGCTAGATAGTTGTCTGCAAATGCCATCTCTAACGACACACGGTGATATAGCCTCATCCCTTCCTCTGAGAATATTGCATTCATAACCCTCTTAGTCTGTGCCGGACGATTCCCAAAGACAAGAGCTGCAATCATTTGACAATATATTATTACATGCTAAACTTTAAAACCTATTTTTAACACATGTCCAAACTTACTTTCATACGCCGCTCTTGAGTTGCTGTTGCTGTTTCGTCAAACACATATGTAGTAGCTCCAATGGTGAAATGCCACTCCTCGAGAGGATCTTTCTTCCACTCGCCTCGCCATATTTTCACCCAACGAATCATCCTACATAAACATACATAACATGCAAACACAATTTTAGTACTAAGTCTAAACAATCTCTCACGTTTTAATCTCATCATAAATGGAATGCGAAGACAATCATTTTCTTTCACGGGACAAATTTAGTGTTAACAACTCACGGATCAAAGGAAGAACCAAGAAAACAAATGCAGATAGAAGAATGTTTCCCTGATATCACAAATTAAATGCTGTCGGAATTCATTACCTTTCAATTCTTGAGTGATCTACTTTGATCTAAAACGATTGGCTTCGTATATATAGCCGAAAACCAAAGCTCAAGTAGTACTTCTCTCTTCCCTATACAAACTTTTTGCATGCTATCAAAAAGATTTTGTAAAGATTTTGCTTTGCATGCAGAGCCTCTGTCAGAAATTCTCTTCACCCATTCGCCAAATTCTATTAGGACGGCTCACGTAAAAATTGTGGAGATTTATAGAAGGCTAATCATTACTAACCGACCAATTAAATTTTACACACCTTTTAGCTTACAAACCTAGTCCTTCAGCGTAATCATTACTAAGGCAAGGTTAGTATAGTCATTTTCTTCAGAGATCGAAAACACTAAAGTCCACCAATTTTTACTCATGGGTATTCACCTAATTAAGCAATTCTCTATGTATTTTGGCCCAATTCACCATTTTAAATATGATAATTTAAAATAAAATATTTGTGATTTTTAATTTACGCACCTGTCCATCCTACTTATATATAAAATGATGTTTAAGTTGCTAATCTTTTGATCTAGACCTATGTTATGTTAGGCGAGTTTACTTTTTGTTGGTATTAGTGATTAAATTCTGTTTGTCTAGCTCTAATTCTGAACCACCCAAAACCAATTCAAACTAAACTGAACTCAACATAAACCAAACTAAACCAGATTGAATTCAGTTGGAGTTTTATCAAAACGTAGACATTCTAAAGTGTCTTACAACATTAGACATAAATGCCTCATATTATAAGCGAAAAAAGCCTTCAAAAGTGGAGAAGAAACACAAACAACGTTCGAGAAATGAGAAGTGAAATAAGAAACAAGAACCATTACGAGAAACTCTCAACCTATGTAGTGAGTTCCATAATCGCAGACACAATATCTCCATCATTGGCCTTAAGAGCCTTGGTAGCTTTGGCCTTGGAGACACCAGCTTGAGTCATCACGAGCTCAACATCCTTGGCTTCAACACCAGTCTCATCAACATCTTCATCGTCCTCTTCCTCTTGTGCAACAGCGGCTGCTTCAGAAGCATCAGCGTTAGGGATCATAGAAGCAACGTCTGGCATCTTGAACCTCTGAGCAGCTTGAGCTTGTAGCTGAGAGCTCATATCATCAATCTTGGCCTCACCGAATATGACATAGGTGTCAGAGTTGGGGCTCTTGAACACATCCGGCTTCGAGATCACAAACAAAACCTGAGGGAAGAAACATACATAAATCAATAAAACACAATGCTTTGATTAAAAAAAAAGTTTGATATCAAGAAGAAAGGCGTGTGTGGTCTTACATTCTTTGATCTCTTGATTGTGACTCTGCTAACATCAGTGACGGGTTTCATTCCAAGTTTGAGCATTGCTTTGCGGCTTTTCTTCTCGCTTCTGCTTTGCTTGGAGCTCTCATTCTCACCAGCTCCTTCAAATACAACACAATCAAAACAATAACAGATTCAATAAGAGTTTATATCAATCACATAACAGATTCAATCACAAATCCACAAAACTCATCCAAAAGATTCTTCTGATGAATCGAACAAACACATCAACGGAAGAAGAGAATAATAACATACCATCGACGTTGTCATCGTCGTCGTCGTCCTCATCGTCCTCATCATCTCCGTCTTTGACATCCTCAACGACAACATCATTTTCCTTCTGCTCCATAACACATGAAAGCAATCGTCATACAACAGATAAAATAGAAAACGACTCGGACAAAGATAAAGAGAGAGAGAGAGAGAAACGAACCTCGAGCTTCATTTGCTCTTTGATGGCATCCATCAACTGCTCCTCAACCTTCACTTCGTCGACGACGGGGCCTGGCATCTTCTTCTTATCTTCTTTTGTCTACAACAGCGCAGCTAAACTCTGTAACCCTTTTTTTTTCTTGTGGCGACGATTAAATATGGAGAGGGGCGTAATCTAGCTCTTAAGGGCTTACCCTATCATCAGCCCAAGTTTTTGTAATGGGCCTTGTAAAAGCCCGTTTTTCAAGTCCCCTAGGTCTCGGGAATACACCAGTGGGCTATATAGGTCAGTGAAAAATAAAGAAAGTATAAACAATTGTATAAAAATAGGGGCAATTTGCCCAATATTCATAGCAACCAAGAAAATGTAGTATATAACCATAGCAAATTGATTTGACAATTTGCACCGATTATGGACGTTTTTATCCTTGCACGCGCATAGACGTCGACAAGAGGCGAGTGAGCCATATATAAAACATACTAAACTATATAACTGTGTACATAGTATATAATTCTTCAAGTATCTACAACTCAACTCGATAGATAACCAACAAGGAGGTTAACACGAACTGTGTACATAGTATATAATTCTTCAAGTATCCACAACTCAACTCGATAGATAACCAACAAGGAGGTTAACACGTTTTTCACAGCTAGTACCACTATAAACCTAAATGTTTTAACTTGTTTTGAGATGCATCATATACACATGTAGTGAACTATAGATGACGTAAATAAAAACATTAAAAGGAATTTCCCTTGTAAGAACAACTTATAAGTCAAGCTAAATTAGAAAGACAAATAATTAAATGAAAACAAAAATCACTACCAGCATATACTGTTGTACTTTAACCGGGGATGTCTCAGAAGGATGAGAACTAAGATAAAAAATTATTAACTAACCTATATCTAAATCCTAATGTCAATGTCAAAATTTAGATTTATGGTTTAGGATATAAAATGAAATGTTCAAAACACCAATTCTAAGAAACTATACTAGTGTATATATAATATAGTATGATTAGCTGAGAAACAAATGTGATGTCCGATAAGGTACATATGGTTCTAATTTCATATGTATTACAAAAGAAGGGATCACCAATGGAAGCCAACTTCTAAACTCTAACCCCTAAATCCTAACCCCTAAACCATAAACCCTAAACCCTAACCCCTACACCTTAAACCATGGAACCGTAACCCATAAATTGGATATTTCACTCCTTTGCAGCGTGTAGGTGTGTGTAAAACAAACACAACAACTTCATACTATTCTACATATATTGATCATATAGTATAGTATGTGGAGGGAGGGAGGGAGAGGGAGGGGGAGGGGGAGGGGGAGGGGTTAACCTCCTTGTTGATTATCTATCGAGTTGAGTTGTGGATACTTGAAGAATTATATACTATGTACACAGTTCTATAGTTTAGTATGTTTTATATATGGCTCACTCGCCTCTTGTCGACGTCTATGCGCGTGCAAGGATAAAAACGTCCATAATCGGTGCAAATTGTCAAATCAATTTGCTATGGTTATATACTACATTTTCTTGGTTGCTATGAATATTGGGAAAATTGCCCCATATTAAATACAGTAAGAAATTATTAATTCATACATTTATAATCTGTTAAATACAATAAAAGTGTTATAAATTAATAATATCATAATTAATTAATTTAATTATTAATTTAATCTCTTGATATTACATATTTGGATTTACTTTCAAATTTTAAATTTTATCACTTTTTGATTAATTACAACCTCGCCACACTTTAATGCAATAACTAGGATAAGACCTGCGCCTTGCGCATGATAAATATATGTAGTTAAAATATAAAATTTTAGTACTGACAAATTTAAAATTTATATATGATTGTTTTTCTATGAATTTGAAATTTTAGAATTTTGGAATTTTTATATAATTATCTATACGTATGATCAGAAACAATTGTAATTAGAACTGTAGATCAAATCTTAGAATTTAATGGACCCGATTTATATATCTTTTCACTTTCCAGTGTTCGACTGATGGGAAAAAAAAACAGAGTGTCATTGGGTTTGATTGGTAGAGTATTAGCAAGTGTATTAATGTGTTTTTAAGAAGCAGTTGGTAAAATATTTGCATTCAAAATATGTAAAATTTCAAAACTAATTTAATATAATTTATTTATTTTTCTAATAATATTAGAAAATTATATTTTTTACAAATTAGATTTTTAAAATAATTTTATATAAAATTAAGTTAAATTTTAAATTATTTTTTAAAATAATATTTTAAGTTTTTCAAATACAAATAAACAATTTAAAATTAATTATGGTCATGATTTAAAATAACCATATTGATTTAAAAAAAATTAAAGAATTTAAAAATTAACAAATTAAAAATTAACTCAGTTTTATATCATGACTTAACAATTTAAACATTAATTATGGTTATGAGAAGTTTATGTTCACGTGTCAATCCTATTTATCTTCAATTTTTCTCTTGTTGTGTTTTTTATATTTTTGTTATTACTCGATATATGAAGTTTATTCTCATTTCGTTTGTTTGTTTTGACCTGAGATTTAGAAAATACTTAAGATTTAAAATAATTAAAGATATACATACTTAGGTTAAGATCTGCAATTTATGCACAATAAGTATTTTATATTTATTGTTTATTTTATATCTTTATGCATATTATAAAATAATAAAATAATAAATATAGATATTAAATAACTAAGAAATTAGTTACTATTATGTATTAAATTGACGTATGCATATAAATTTAACTATCACTCATTTTTATTTGCAATTAGGATAAATAAATCAAAATAATTAATCTTATATATTGTATATGATATATATTTATATTTAAATGATATAAACATAGTAATATAGCACACTTTTAATATAGATATTTACTAAATGAAGTTTCTACTTATGTGATTTTATGATTATTTGCATATTTGTGTAATAAAACTTTACAACAACGCATTTTTTTAATGTGAGATGTTTAGTAGTTTCAATTTATAATCATTTTTTAAAAAAATGACATATTTCAACATTAAAATATTAACTTTTCAATATATGTTCAAGGTAAATATCAAAATATAAGTATGTATTTTCATACGATGTATAGTTTAATTAAAACGATATGAAATATATATAAACTAAAATTATTTCTTCATATGGTCTTATAATCATTATATTTTAATATAGAAAAAGAATTAAAACCATGATCCTAAAAATCCATGTAAGACTTTTAACAGTTTTAGTAATTTATACTCATTTTGAAAAATTCGAAATACAACATACACAAAACAAAATCTAGATTTTTATTATATGATTAACGTAATTGTGTAATTTATTTTAAGAATAAATAAATAAACAAAATGAGAAAAAGTATATAGATTGTTATCAAATCTTTATTGTTTTAAATCATTAATTGTCATATATATATTTTAATCACATTAGGTAATTCCGTAGAATTTATTTAAGGAAAGCATGTGAAACAATAAATATTTGATATATACGACCAATTATAACCTACGAAATATTAAATTTGCTAGGGAGTATAATTTTTAGACTATACATTATATCACATGATCTAGAATCCTTGGGATTTGAAATAGAAGCCAAAGAGCTATGCCACATAGGATTGGGGTTATTTTTAATTCTTACAAAATTAAGGTTACAGCTTTTTAAATGATTCTCAAATAATATATAAGGGATGCTTGCAATAATACGTATCCAAAAAGATCTCATGAAATTAGTTTTTCAGTCGAGAAACTCCTTAGAATTCTCACGATAATCAATATATATGTATCATTATTTCAAATTATTTCTTTTGATTTCATTTGTTTCATCCTATGATTTATAAATATCTTCGGTGCAAAATAAAAAAAAAAACATTCTCTCTAACTTTTCTAAAAATGTTATTCAATTAAGTAAAAAAAGTTATTTAACTGAAAATAAAAACTAAAGACTACTTTCATTTTACTCTAACCACAAACAAAACAAGGTTGAATTTATGTTTATATAAATTATATATAAATTCTATATATAAAGATAATTTATGATTTAGCAGATCATATATATACTTAAGAAGTTTTTAAAATTTATTTTATTATTATTTTATTGATTTATGTTACCTTTTTTATTTCCTAATTCTAAAACTTTATTAAATTATCATATTACTTAATATTATTGTCTAAATATATATTTGATTACTATTAGTGTCTTAAGATATAAGAAAAGTTTTATTTTATGTTAGAAATTACTGGAAAATTAAAATTTATTCTAATACTTTTTATTTTAGAATGAAAAATAAAATTACCGGACAGTTGAAAATTAAAGACTAAGAACCCGATTGGTAATGGCTGTAGCTTTAAATATTTTGTTGTAGAAAAAAAAGTTTTAAAATTTTTATTGTATCTTTAGATTTTATGGAAAACTCAAAAATTACTTTGAATATTTGGTTTCAGAAAAAAACTTATACAACTCTAAGTTATTTCAGAAGCTGTAATTTTTTTAAAAAAATCATTAATGGTTAATTGCTGTAAATTTGATGTTTTAAAAATATATAGTGCTTTGGAAAGCACCTACAGCCATTACTAATCACATTCTAAAAAGAGGAAAAATAAATTACAAACCAGTGCAAAACTAAATTGGAGTAAACTAACTTATAACTCTAGAATTAAGGACAAACTAACTTTCCTTCTCCAAAATTCGCCAGAACTATCTACCACGAAAGAGAAATTTGCCTAAAGGTATGTTTATTGGAAGATTCTTATGGTGAATTTGTTAATTTATGATTTACTAATTTTTCGTTTTTTGGGTAAGAATCGACTTTTATACCTTTTATTTAAAAATCGATTCTTAATTTTTCTTAGTTAAAAACTAAAAAACATATTTTAACCGAAAACAAAACACTCATCCTAAGAACTTTCAACATGGCCTAAGAATATCACGACCAATAAACCCAAAAAAAAAAAAAAAACAACTTCCACCATAGAACCCACCACCAAACTAAATAGAATAAGACAGAACAATAAGATAAGCACCACCACAAACGTAAATAAAGATGAAAACACAAAATAA